GCCCTCATATCCAGACCTGAAGATTTATTGAAGGCTCGAAAGTTCCCCATAGGAATTAGCCCAATAAAAGACATAAATTTACATCTGTTCTTTGCAGCAGGAGCCCCAAAGTTAGCTCAATTCCCCCCCCTTTTTTTCCCCCATCACCAAGAAGGTTTAATTAAGGGGTGGACAAATTCTTAAATGCAGAGTAAAATGCACTGTGTTTTAGGAGGGACCGTTCTGTTAATTTGCATGTCTTAATTACATGTAATTAATGTAATATGCGTATAATTTTCAGGACCATGGTGAGTGCCAAGCCACAGCTGGTTATCTTTCCAAATTTATTCTTAAAATGATGAAATCTTAAAGAACAACTTCTTCGAGTTTTACCCTTGTGGTGGTGGGGGAAAGGAGGGATTGATTCTGACATATATTTGATTTCTTGCAAGATTATAGATGGGTAAAATGTGAGGGGGATAAATGAAATTTTGTGTGTGTGTATGAGAGAGAGAGAGAGAGGGACATGTTTCTTGCATCCCACCATATTATAAAAATATTCCTGTTTTTTTCCAAAGCATTAATATGTTTTGTTTCCATGTGCAGATAACCATTTACTTACAGTTTACTTACTTATAGATTAACCAAGTTGGAAGGGACCTTGTAGGTCATCTAGTCCAACCCCCCGCCCATTCATGTTTATCAGCTGATACACTTGGATTTCATACCTCAGCAATTTTATTCTCCTCATCAAAAGATTCATATTTCCAAACTGATAACAGACACCATTTAGTCCTGTCGACTATAACTGGTTCTCGACTTAGCAACCATTCATAGTTCCATATTAGGGAGACAAAGAAATTTCTTCTTCTTTCTGCACTTTTTTCTTCTTTCTTTTTCTCCCTTTCATTTCTTTTCTTTATTCTGTACAAGTTAGTCCTCGACTTATGACCACAATTGAGCCCAAGATTTCTGCCACTAAAGAAGAAGTGAAGTGAAGTTTGCTCTATTTCATGAGTTTTCTTGCCCCAGTGGTTAAGGGAATCACTGCACCTGTTACTTTAGTGACCCGACTGTTAATAGAATAGAATAGAATTCTTTATTGGCCAAGTGTGGTTGGACACACAAGGAATTTGTCTTTGGTGCAAATGCTCTCAGTGTACCTAAAAGAAAAGATACATTCATCAAGAGTCAAGAATCATAAGGTACAACACTTAATGATAGTCGTAGGGTACAATAAGAAATCAAATCATACTAGGAAGCAGTCAATAAAAATTGTTAGGATACAAGCGACAAAGTTATAGTCATACAGTCACAAGTGGGAGGGGAGGGGTGAGAAGGAGTGATGAGAAGATTAATAGTAATAGTAATGTAGACTTTGTAAATAGTTGGACAGTGTTGAGGGAATTATTTGTTTAGAAAAGGACCAGGGGAGACTGGATTACAGTCTTCTGATATTTGAGGGGCTGCCCCAGAGAGGAAGGGATCCAGCTATTTTCTAAGGCACCCTAAGGCCAGACAAGGAACAATGGATGGAAACTGATCAAGGAGAGATTCAACCTGGAAATAAGGAGAAATTTTCCGACAGGGAGAACAATCAACCCATGGAATAATTTTTCTTCAGAGGTAGTGGGAGCTTCATCGCTGGAGGCTTTCAAGAAGAGACTGGACTGCCGTTTGTCAGAAACGGTGTAGGGTCTCCTGCTTGGGTGGGTGGGGGGATGGACTAGATGGTCTACAAGGTCCCTTCCAACTCTGTGAATCTGTAAGCTCCTAGTTACTGAAAATATTATGCTAAGAGGCTCCCTTATCCTACTCTCATCAGCTGCATTCACGGACCTTCCCCTGTTCAGTTGTGCAGTGGTACTCTGGTGGCTTTGTTGTAATTACTGAGACTTCGCCAGGATGGTGTGGTATTTTTTTCTCTCTCTCTTCCTTTCCTCTGCCTCATTTATCAACTGTCGCCTCAGGACTGTGCCGCCCTTTGGAAACTTTCGTAGCTAAAGTTAACAGCCCAGGTTTTTTCAATTGTTAGCTTGCTCTCTGTTTTTCCTCGGCGGAGACATTCCTTCCTCCTCCTCTGAGCCATCAATCATGGTCTTCTCCGGCCTTAATTCAGTCTCCCATCCGGCCCTTTCTGACCATTTGTGAATTCTGCCTCCATTTGTAAAACTCCACAAGAATTGCAACTGGAGGCATTTTTTACAGATTCCATTTGTCTTCCAACACCGGTGATGAAAAGCCTGTTTGGTTAGTGCAAATTATTACATGAAATGGAAGGGCTGAAGTTGGAAATTACAGGTACTCCAGTCATTTTCAGCCTGTAAAAACTCCAACCCATCAAGGGTGCCTTAAGACAAAAAATAATTAAGGAGAGTGTAGAATATTTGAACTAGCTGCTAGGTGTTTTCTATGAGTTAAGGGAGTAGAGAAGAGGTGATAAATTTCTGAACAGTGCCAGGCAGGTTTGGAAGGGAAGATAGTCTAGAAACATAATTCATCATGGTGTTCTCTGAGCTTGGTTGTTTGCATGCAGATGTTTTGTTACCCAACTAGGAAACATCAGTACAAGTGAGTGTGTGGTTTTGTGTTTGTAGAGCAAACTTGCCCTGGAGGTGTGGTTTTCTCCTTGGATATTGTTTTCTGCTTAGTTGTTTGTCTGGTGTTAATCCCTGCTTCTTTGGTTTTGGCTGTTGGAGAGGATGGGTGGAATCCTTGATGGTCATTGATCTGCAGATGTTTTGTTATCCAACTAGATAACACAATCAGTGTGTAGTGGGGCATGGAATTTGTTCCCTGTTTATATAGATATAACTTGTCCTGGCAGTTTCAGTCAAGGTTGGCAGTTACTTAACTGGAGATATAAGTAATTGTAGTTACTTAACTGGAGGTATTGTTTTCTGCTTGATTGTTTGTCTGGTGTTAATTCCTGCTTATCTGGATGTTGGCTCCTAAAGAGGACATGTTCAGAACTGATAATCTCTTCTCTTCTATTGGGATATATCTGATCTTCATCATTTGCTGCCGTCTTTTGAATATGAGTTTTTTTCCCTTCGTCCCAGGATTTTTCATCCATTCTCTTTCACTCTGTTTGCCAAGCAGCTGTAAAGAAACGGAAGAAAGTAACTCTTTAAGTAATTATATAAGCAGCAACCCTTGTTCTTATTAGCCTGACATATCTGATGCCCTGGGAAAGATAACGAGGGCATCCCCTGCCTTTCATTCTTCAGAAACATGGTGGGTTGACTTGACCGGATTTTTGGTCTTTGGCAAAGGGTGGCCATTCAGGTTTTCAAAGGATGTTTTCAGGAGGGCAGGTTGATGATCAGCCACCATCAAAAGTGATGCACGCGCCAATGCGCCCTGTACAAACAGGTGATCTTTGAACTATTCCTTTGTGTTGGGTCTTCACTGGGGATGGGGGATGCTCATGATTCTACGGGCATTGCAACGGACTGACCTTCTCCCAGCAGGCCAAGATTCAATGTTGGTCCTGTAGGGAGAGGTGAATCAGGACAAGCTTCAAAAGGGTTAGGCTACAAAACAAAAACTATCTGTGGTTTGGTTAGAGAGGTGAGTTGATCAAACTGTGGCACTGTTTGGAATAGACAAGTGGGAAGGGCCATAGAGATCATTGCATTGAAACATTACTCTCTGTCTCTGTCTCTCTCTGTCTCTCTGTCTCTGTCTCTGTCTCTGTCTCTCTGTCTCTGTCTCTGTCTCTGTCTCTCTCTCTCTCTCTCTCTCTCTCTCTCTCTGTAGGGGATTGGAAACATATGTCTAAAACATATGAAGAATAGTTGCAGGAACTGGGTATGCCTAGTTTAATGAAAAGAAGGACTAGGGGAGATATGACAGCAGTCTTCCAATATCTCAGGGGCTGCCCCAAAGAAGAGGGAGTCAAGCCATTCTCCAAAGCACCTGAAGGCAGGACAAGAAGCAATGGGTAGAAACTAATCAAGCAAAGAACCAACTTAGAACTAAGAAGAGATTTCCTGACAGTTAGAACAAAGAATCAGTGAAACAACTTGGCTCCAGAAGTGGTGAATTCTCCAACACTGGATATTTTTAAGAAGAGATTGGGATGGGTTTTTCTCTGAAATGGTATCGGGTTTCCCGCTTGAGTGTGAGGTTGGATTAGAAGTCATTCGGTTACGTTCTGTTTATTCTACTAGGCCTCTCCATCTTTGCTTGCTGCAAGAGTTTTCGATGTTTGACGGAAGCCTCTTGGCCCGTGGGATGAGAAATGTGGGGTGAGCACCTAGAGGTTAGACACAGAACTCCAATAGAATAGAATAGAATAGAATAGAATAGAATAGAATAGAATAGAA